CCAGCATGAAGGCATCAAGGCCTGAGGCCTGAAGACACTTGGACAGTGAGGGGTGGTGAGGGTGACTAGGCTCTGGACACAAAAGACAACTATAGTTAGGAAGCCCAGGGCTGGGTGCTCCCCCCAGTGACTGAGGACATGCGGGCTCCCTGCCCCCCCAGCAGACAGGCGCTTACGTCCGCACGGGAGACTGGCGCCTGCCGTGGTGGTGAGCAGATTGCTGCACAGCTTGTGAGAGCCCCGCCTGGCAGCAGCCCTTGCTCCATCACACACGGGTGGGAGTGGCACTGGGGGCTCTCCGGCTTGCCCTCTGTAGGGGCCAGAGAGCTAGGGGCAGGGACTCGGGAGATCCCTGGCTGGGCTGGGCACTCAGAGCAGCTGGACGCATCAGGCCTGGTTCTGAGTGCAGGGCTCCAGGAGCACCCACAGCACACAGAACACATCTTACTCCAAGTGCAAGGCTGACATGGGACACTGCACAGCAGGCCTGGCCCCGTGCCTGGGAGGCCAGGAAGCTCAGAGGGGTCGGAACTACCTCAGGAGAGTGGGGTGTCAGGACTCCTAGACTGGGGCTTCAGATGCCGACAGGGGCAGACATGGTCCTCCCTCCCAATAGGGAGGCCAGGGGGATATTGTGAGGAGGGGAGGGGGCCTGGTCAGCACACCCAAGGACCTGGGGCCATCCCAAAGAGCCCAGCAGCTCCAGAGGAGGGAGGGCCAGGCACCCCGGGGAAGTCCCTTTGATGGCTGGTAATAGGGGAGGGCTCCAGCAGTCAGGGGCCTGGCAGGGCAAGGCAAGCCCATGAAAACCTCGCTGGGAGTGGGCCCCTGGCCTGTCACCAAGGGACCAACTTGGAATCTGACATGACATGCTGCCCAGGCACTCCAAACCCCTTCTCCCCAGCACAGCCTGTATGCACAGGGTATTCAGACCAGCCAGCGGCAGGCAGGAGCTGCTATCCTGCCCATGGTCCCACACTGTTAGGACCAGCTGCTGTTACACCTCTAGCACAGAGAGCTCCCAGAGGGTGTCCAAGAGCACACCCCCTTCCCAAGAAGCACAGGGGAGATGGTAGTCCTGCTTATTAAGGGGGATGGGGCATGCAGGCAGTGGCATCTGCACACTTGAGCCTGGCTTAGTACAATCACCCTGGGTCATCATAGTTCACAGGGTAGAGATGTCCTCCTCACCCTGGGAACCAGCAGAAACTCAGGGGGGTGGGCCAGCCTGCCAGGTCACATAGCAAGGACGGAAGGTGGTGGGATATAAATCTGAGCGTTCACCCTGGCCCTGGGAGCAGGATAAAGGGTCTGGTTGGCTCCAGCACCACCCCGGCTCTGGCCCGCAGGGATGGATACCCAGCCCTGCGCTCGCACTCGGGAGGGTAAGCTTGGAAGGAAGAAGAGAACATATCTCACAGCCTCAGGAAAGATAAAATCCCAGTGCGGCCCGTCTCGGGCAGCCACGGAGGGGCCCACACTCTTCTCTCCTCCTCATCCTTCCTCCCAGGGCAGAGCAGGCGACATGGCACGCAGATTGCTTTGTCTGAATTGAATTTTTAAACTGCACCCTCGAGACACGATGAGAGGAGAGACATCAGCGGAGACGCAGATGCGGTCATATGTCTAAAAATAAGATGCTTCCAGAGGCAGGTGCCGGTGCAGGTGGGGGGGGGGGTGGTCCAGGCGGATGACGCTAGTGCAGGCCATGCTGCTGACAAGAGGGACTTGGGGAGCAACCCTGGGACTGCACCTTCCTGGAGGGGTGACCCTGAAGCCGCTCTGGGGTCACACCAGGGGGACACAGTTCCCCAACTTGGCTGTGGCTGCGGTCTTACCAGCTTAGACACTAGCACCCTTGGGGGGCCAGGCAGGGTCTGGGCATGGGGCATCAGGCACAGGGGGGCCTGGCTCCCATGAGAGGCATGGCTCTCTCAGAGTCACAGGTGTCAGGCAGGGAGGAGGGAGCCCAAGTCATCTCAGACTATTTATGCTACTTAACAATGTGGGACTCGTGGGGCTAGGACAGCTCAAGGCTCAGTTTTGTCCCCTAGGAAAAGGGCGGGGGGGAGAAGTGTGCCTCTGGGAAGACAGACATCCCCCCCTGCCAGTCCACGTGTAAGAAATAGCTACAATAGGCAAGTCCACAGAGGTGAAAGCTGACAGCTGCCAGGGCCAGGGTGATCACCACGTTCCAGACTTAGAGAGCTGTGAAGGCTGTGTGCCTCTGAACACAACTAAACCCACCAAATTGTTGCATTTATACAGGGGGAATTTTATAGCTTGTGAATTTTTTCTGAAAAAATGCAAAAATAAAAAAAATCCATAACCCACCATCATCAAACCCACCAAAGGATCGCCCCCCTGCCCCGGCGGCGGCGAAGAGATGGCACAGGGGAGTGGGGGGCCCACACCCCCAGGGAGACAGAGTGTGCATTGCTGACCACCAGGCAGACTCTTGTTCCCAAATCTAGCTCTCCACACCGCAGTGCTGGGTGTCAGACCTGAGGGTAGGGAGATATCCTCCAGCCAGGACCACCTGCTCAGAACTGTCCTAACTCAAGTAGCAGCAACAAGAGACATAGGCATACCCTGCCAGCTACATTACCTCTGGCTTGGGCTCCATCTCTCTGAGCCTCAGCTTCCCAATGTGCACAATGGGCTAACTCAGGGCTGGTGGCCTGATTCTATGAACAGGGGAGATGGCAAGGTGAGAGCAGGGGTGACTGTAAGAGGATAGTGGTGTGGCCAAGAGGGGACCAGGAGTAGCTGAGCCCATCCTCATCTGTTCAAATCAGGGTCCACCCAGGGCCGACCACGTGGAACTGACATCAATGAGCCTGGGCTTATCAAGAGAAGTTGTTGGGGATACGGTATCTGCATCAGGATCTAGGTACTGGTCCTGCCTGTGGACCCTGAGCCCCCAAACCTTGGCTGTCCCATCTCAGTGAGGGGACAACTCAAGAGAAGGCACCACGGACACACACTGCTCTTTCCTCTCCCTCGCCAACTCCCTGGAACTCCTTCCCAGGGTGTCACTCAGAGTGCCCAGGGGCAGAACAGGCCCTGAAGCCACTGAGTGCAGCCTCCTGCTAAGTGCCCTCCTGCTCTGCAGGACACCTTGTTCCCAGCCAGGGAGGCCTGGCAAGCCTGGCACTACCTATGAACCCACCAATGCAGCTGGACGCCAGGGCCAGCCTGGGGTGGAGGAGAGGGAGTGAGGGCCCAGCGACACAGGCTCCTATCAGGATGCTGGGAGCCCTTGTGACAAGCCCACAGCGGGAACACGGGGTTGTAGGTCTCTCCACAGCCTCTCTGGGCGAGGGGAAGAAACCAGCCCTTCCATGACCACATCCTCTTCAGAGTCACCCCAGGACCAGAGCCCCAGAGGCCCCGGAGGGCACACAGCTGCTAGATACAGCTGGAGGTGACTCAGGCCCAGCAGAGCCAGCATTCTCCACGTGCTGACCATAGCCTCTGAAAACCCGTGTCAGCCCTGTTTCTCCTGCCTTCTGGAACACTGAGAGGATGACCAACACAAGACCTGCTGTCCCTTCCTTCCCACAGCCTCTTAGGAGGGCCCCACGTCCCGACTCCAGGCTCACCTCCTGCTGCGTGGGTCTCGGCAGCAGCATCTGCGAACCACCCAGGCCAGGCAGGAAGCAGGCCCCTCCTCTGAGCCATCTGCCCTGCAGCCACCTTTGACACAGGGGACCCATGCAGCCTGGCTGGCTCAGATACTACAGCCCCACCTCTCCCCAGTACAGCAGGTGGAGCCAGGAGGCTATGGGGTGCTCCTGGTTAAGCACCGATTTCAGGGTACAGAAACCAGGCCCTGAATGCCGCCCTACTCCTGAGCCAGCACCCTACTCTCAAATCAACAAAATGCCAGGCTGGGTCCTTCACCCCAGCCCTCAATGACCAGTCATAGGAAGAACCTGGGAAGAAGAGATTCAGAATCAGAAGACCCCTCAGCCTGCCTCAGTCAAGGCAAATTTCCCTACTACCAAGCTATAGCCCCTAAACACAGAAAACAGATACAGTCCCCGCACACAGTGTTCTGTGGGAGCCCCAGGCGGGCCTAGAAGCTATATCCTAAACCTCAGACACCTGGGATGAGGCAGATGGCAGGTAGAGGCCTGGGGGTCCCACTTTCTCCAAGCAATGAGTGCAGGGTTGTCTGAGAGGTCAGGGAAAACTCGTAGGGCCCAAGTCTTCCAACTATAAACTGTCCCCCCAGTTTGTCCAACCACCAGCTCCCCACCAGCACCAACCTGGGAGCCGACGGTCACTGTGGCCCTGAGAAGTGCTCCAAAGCTGGAGCCCAAAGGGGCCTCAAAAGCCTCACTGCACAAAAGGGAAGACTAGGGCTCAGAGAGGGTCAGCACTTGCCCAAAAAGTCACACAGCGTGTCATGGCCCAGATGATGCCAAAAGCCAGGTCCACACTGCTCCACCACCTCTGCCCCAGGGAGTTAAAAGTGGCAAGTCAGTTGTCGTAGAGGCCCTACTCCAGGACCAGTGTGTTTCTAGAGACACCACATTCTCTGCCACATTTGGAACAGGTGTCAAAGCCTGGTCCAGCCTGGCCAGCAAGCCAGGGAGAGGTACTGGGGCCCAGCACTCCCTCTGAAGCCTTATGGGACTTCTGCAGCCCAGGACGACCCTCTAGACTAAGCTGCAGGGCTGGTGGGAAGGTCCCTCCATCACTGGACACCCTCACAGTGGCTTCTGGAGCCAAGCAAGGAAGGACAGCAGCAGGGCAGAGAGAGAAGCATAGGAGCAAAGCACAGGTGCGGGGGTGCCCAGAGCCAGAGCACGGCAGCAGAGGAGACAGTCTGCTGCGGGCGAGCTGGCGCCGGGGGAGCTCTGCCCACCAGCCCTCTGAGTGCCGCCTCCGGCTCTCGCAACAGCTGGTCTCGGCGCCGATGCACCTGCTCTGTGGAGGGCTGGGCGGGAAGGGTGGGCGTCCCCACGCGCAGCCTGGCAGGTGCCTCTTACCTCTGGGCTCCTCCGCCTGCTTGGCGAGCTTGCGCAGCGCGGCGGCGAAGCTGGAGGACGGGGCGGCCTGGGCCGACAGCGCGCTGCTGGTGGCCGGGCTGCCGCTGGGCACCAGGGCGCCATTGAGCGGCGAAGGGGTGAGGGGGTTGACGGTGGCGGTGGTCCTGGTCGCGGTGGAAAGCATCCCTAGTGAAGGGGACTTGGGCTCATGGCTCATGCCTGAAATAGGAAAAGAAGAACCAGAGGTCACCCAGAGAGCAGGAGCACCCAGCACCAGAGCAGGGCCCCGGCGGAGGCGGTGCCAGCAGGCAGCATGCAGGGAGCGGGGCAGGCCTGGGTGGCTCCTGACAGGACAGGCAAGAACAGGACAGAGCCAGCACTGCAGAGGGGACAGAGCTACACCTCTGGAGTCCAGTGATCCAAGGCAGCCAGGACCCCAGCGATCCTATCACCTCTCCTGGGCAGCCAAGCTGCTTAGAAACCCAAAGCATCTCCTGCAGGACCCCAGACCATCACAGGGGACAGAGGAGGGGAGGCAAGGCACAGGGCAAAGGGACAGAGAAATGACACTGACAGACAAGCCTGCAGCAGGGAAGCTGAGCAAACACAAGATGCCACCGGGCCCCGTGCTCCTGGTGAGGTCCACACCACGTTACAGAGAGGGAAACTGAGGCCCCCAGACAGAAGGCCCAGGGGCAGGCTGACGGGGAAGACGGGAGAAGGTGCAGCTTCCCGCAGACCCCACATGGGCTCTCACTGGGCACCGATTCTGCCCTGGGAGGCTAAAGATAGGCAGGCTGCAAACCCAAACCGCTGTGCGGCTTGGAACCCTCTACTCCCTCGGGCTGAGTTTGTTGGCCTATGACCGCCCACCAACTCTTCCCATGGGCCACAGTGGCCGGAGGTCTGAGTTAAGGCTCAGTGTCAGGGATGACAACAGACATTTGGGTATGACACGGCCACCTCCTCTCCAGCTCTCCAGGGCGCTGTCTCCTTGCCACACCGTGGGCCCAATCAGTAAAGGCTCACCCCACGTCACAGTGCCAAGGGTAAGAGGCAGTGGGGTCAGGCATGGAGAAGAGCAAATTAACTTCCAAACCCCAGATGGATACCTAGGAGGATGGGCTCAAGGTCACCTGGACGGGGGGGACAGTCAAGAGACACATGAGGACATACGAGAGGCAGAACTTGCCATGGGACGGGGAGGAGGGAGGGGACCCCAGTGTCCACCTCATCTCTGCCTGATTCTGTGTGGAGGTGGTAAGTCTAATTGAACCCACATCCACCCTATCCCTGTGTGGCGGCAGACTCAGATGCAGAAGAGGGGGGACAAGATAGGACCCCAGAGACCTCCCTCGTCCACCTGCAGCCCCAGAAATGAGCCACCAGAGGCCGTGCACCCTGTATATGGATCCTAAACCCCAAGTTCCAGACAACCAGGCCTAGCAGGTCACCACCCCTCTCTACAGGAGAGAGAGAGAGAACTCTTCAGGGAAGGTGGTGGGTGGGCGCCATCCTCTCTTTCCAGCCCCATAGTGAGCAAGACAATTATTACACTTAAAATTGCAATAACTCAAATCATGTTTGAGTTTTACAATTACAAGGGGTGTTCAAACATGATTTGTATTCGTTTTTTGTTATTGGGATATGTTGAGTATCATAATTCTAATATGGTTTTTTCCTTAGACACATTTTTTTTTTTTTGGCACCCTCTGTATCTGACTCTAGCAGTTTAAAAATATGTCCAAGGTCTTTGTCAGTCGCTTCGTCAAGAGGTACAGACTAGTTCCCCTCCCCAAGTGTGGGCCAGACTCAGTGACTCACTGCTGATGAACAGAACACGGTGCAAGTGTTCTGTGTGACTTTCAAGGTGCCCTCCTCAAAGGCACCACGACTTCCTGGCCCTCTCTCAAATTAAGCAGAGGGGTGGGCAGCCACCACGTCCTGAGGATGCCCCGGCAGTCTAAGAATCCCACATGGTCAGGAATTGAGGCTTCCCACCAACAGGGACATGAGGAAGCCACCTGGGCATTGGACACCCCATCCCCAGGCCAGCAGTCAGATGAGACGGCAGCCCCAGTTGTGCCCAGTCGACATCTTGATTACAGCCACACAGGAAACTCTAACCCAGAACTGTAGCAGCAGGGCAGGCCTGCTGGCTCCTGGCTGGACAGAGCCAGCTGTCAGAGCCAGCTAAAGCCCCTTCAAATGCCACAGAAACTGAGAAAACAAAGATTTGTTGTGGAATCGAGTTTAGGGTGTGTGTTACACCGTACTGGGTAACAGACACATCAATGTTAGCACATGCCCACCTCCTTACTCTCTCCCAATAGAAGCCCCCAAAGATTATTTTATATCTGCAAATAAACACTCTGTGCCCTTACCTAAGAGTCTCTAGAATGTGTCCCTCTGATGACAGCAGAGGCTGCCAACCACCCCGCCCCCTTCCCCACATCCCTTAGAAAGTCAGCCAGCCTCCTCCCCTCAAATCCCAGCCACCCTGAGAGAAAGGCGCTGTCAGGACCATTTCATCACAGGCGGGAGGAGGTGGGCTCAGCTCTAAGGGACGGCACAGAGAGAAGGGCCAGAATAGCCTCAACATACTGCCTGTGTCCACCTGACAGATGCCAGGCAGGGCCAGACCCAAATTGGCAGACTGAAGCCCACAGAGCCATGAAAGATGAGGGTGACACAAGGGGCTGTAGGGTCACTGGACTTCCCACTGACCTGTCCCAGAGGTCTGGGAGCAGATGCTAAGTCCCTGCCTCATGGCCTTTGTGACAAGCTGGCCAACTGGGCAGACCTTCTGCGACCTCTGGCTGTGGGCACAGAGAGGCAGAAGCTGTGGTGCAAATCCCAGGCTGGGGCCCCACACCTTAGAGGTGCTAGTAGTAGATTCAGATGGCTGCAAGAGTAATTTTCTCTTTCATTTTTATCCCCCTTGTCTCTCCCTGTAGGCTCTAATTTTCCTGCAGTGAACCAGATTTTGATAAAGGGGGGACCTTCACAGGGACAGTGACTTGACAGCATGAAGTCACAACCACCCCTAGAATCACCAGACTCAGCCCCAGAACAAGGCCTGGTCCTGGACAAAGGCAGGGGAGCAACAGAACTGGGGTGACCCTGTGGTGCCTGACCCCACAGCTCTTGCCTCTCCCTGGTACCCAGGGTCCCAGTAGGCAGGGCAGCCCTCTATGCCCACCTGTGGCCCATGGGTCTATGGCCATCTCAATGTCCACATCGTAGTCCTGCTAGCACCCTCAACCCCACCTCCCACCTCTGACAAAGCTTAGCACCCTCTCTCCAGGACCCTCTGGTGGCCTCCAGCCCTTAGTCCAGCTCTCTAGGTCTCTTGGGGGGGGGGGTCCCCCAAAGCTAGCATCCCACCACAGTGTCAGCCATGGGCTCCCAAGGAGCTGTGAGCCCGGGAGCTGCTCTGCTGATGTCAGGTCACTTAAAATAGAATTCCAAATGAGCAGCTTCATTAAGGGGAGTCTAAAATTAGCATTTCTCCTCAGCATGTGTGCACCAGGCAAGGAGGGGAGGGGGTGCAGCAGCCCAGGGGCAGATCCCTCCAGGCTAGGACAGGAGGCCAACCTGGGGGACCCAGAGATCCCATGAAAGGTCACCCTGTACTTGCTGTGAATGGACATGGCCTCTGGGGGCCCATCCTTCGTCCCACCACCCCCAGGCAGGTAGACACAGGCCTCCCTCCTTCTGTGTTCTCTGCCTGAGGCGAGGGCAGGTGCCAAGGTGTCCATGGAGGCCCCAGGGCAGGTAGGCGTGAGGGGGAGGGAGGCTCTGGGAGGGAGCACCCCCTGCCCTCATTAGAGAGGTATTTATTAACTTCTGCGCTCCTGGCCATTGACTGAATTCTTGTCTACATTATCAGCTCATGTAAATTCATTATCCTAACAGCTGGGAATAAGCTCCTCGGCATGAAGGCCGTGATGGATGTGGGCTGGGGGGCCGGGGGCCATCTCAGCACTGTACAAGCTCTCTTGACATGTGCAGCTCAGCAGGAAAAAAAACGAGCCTGGGGTCTAGGTGGACCAGACCTGCGCGGGGAGAGGGAGCTCCTTTTTTTCTTATGTACATCACGTGCTACTCTGGACAGGCTCCTTCCTGCCCTTGTCAGTGGCCACCTTGATCCTTTGGGGGAAAAAGCTGCCACATCCTGATACCCCCAGTTTCCTCAGCCTGGGTATCCTCAAATCAAAGGGCCACAGAATATCCTGCTTCCCCCATTCCCCCACCCGTGAGCCTCAGCTTTCTGCTCCCTGGACCCCTCCAGAGCCCATCTGGGCCAGCTAATCTGAGCAGCAGAGCTGAGAACCCAGTGGCTACTGCCAGAAGCCAGACAGCAGGAAAAAGGAGTAAATACCCAGCCCCCTCCCCCATTTCATGGGCAAGGAAGGCCTGGAGTGCAAAGATCGCTGTCCCTGGTCCCGGAGAGCCCCAGGGCACGGCCCTCACTCTCTCTAATAAGGTATGGCTTCTTTCATCGATATTTTCTCCTATTCTCTAGTATGGTCAGAAACAGCACAATGCTTTAAATAAATAAAAAATAAAAAAAAAAAGCAAAAAGAAAAGGAGGAAAAATCCCAGTGGAGAGGGGAAGCCTGGCTGGCATTGGGAGTTGGTATTTTCTGGAAACCCCTCCAGTTCCAGATTCTTCAGAACATACCCCAAACGGGCTTGCCTGCTGTCCAAACGCTCTAAACAGCGGGATTTTAAGAGAGGGGGAGGCTTCTAATACTCCATTAAATGCAGTGCCCCTCCCGCGCCCTCCCCGCGCAGGGGGAGATGGTGGAGGGCGGCATTAATCAGCAGGCGCTGCAGCCCTCCCAGCCTCCCGCGGATCCCATAATTACCGCTTCCTTTCATCCCTGCTCTTCCCCAGCACCAGACCTCAGGCCTGCTCCCTCCATGCTCTGTAATTACAAGCTAATAGCTGAGATGAATTTTCTGCTGGGTCCCAGTTCAAGCACCAATCCGCCCCTTCCCCCGACAGCCCCCCCTGGGGTAATTACACCCCGTGAGGCCGGGCTCAGCAGGGCTTCACTTTCAGGCCCGCGTGCACAATCTGGACCTGGATTCTCTAATCACCCCTCTTGGTAATTTTTCATTACCACAGAAAGAAATGTTTGTGAACAAATAAAGGGCGTCCCCTGGCTTTGGGGGTTGCCCCACCCCCACCCCCGCGCGCGCATCATGCC